AAAAAAAAAGGATTTATCTTAAATTGATTTTTAATTCCATCATTTATCCAACCTCAATGTAATTGCAGCTTAAATTCAAGATTAATACTTCTAAATAGTAAGAAATTATTATTAAAAATACAAAATTGTTTCACTTAAACTTCAATGGTATTCAAGAAAATCAAGGTAGAAAAAATGTCCAAAGACTTGTTGATGCTTAAGATTTAAAGACTTTAATTGGGTCTTAATTCTTTAATCTTATTTTTTTGTTTTTCAATAAATATGCAACAACCGTGAGTGTAGGGGGTTTAAATGTAGAACTATGAATTATGATATTTTTGATGTTATGTCAAAGACTTAAGAGTTGTTATAAGGTTGAAGTGCGATTATGTTGATGGCTATGCAATAGACATATGAAAAATGGGCGTAGACTTTGGCAATATATGACTTTAATTATGAACTAACTAACCAATTGGTGAAAGAAAGAAGAAAAGGACATTAAAGTTGCATTTAATGTTTGCTACTTAGTGAAAAAATACGGCCTTTCAAAAAAACCTTAATAGAAAAATCCCGTACAAATTACTAAAGACTTTTATTTTTATAATTTTTTTTAAAATGTAATAAATATATATTTTAATTAATTTTTTTATTTATGTATTTTGCTAATTAGATTACATTAGGCTACAAATACAAATTTATTAGATAAGGTATCATTCCGATTCAATAATTAGGTTGTACAGTATTAAAATTTAAAACGAAATCTTTTTTATGAACAATATAACAATTTTTTTATTCTCTTTTACTCTCCACACTTTATTTTTAATTCTCACATGGTGGTACTCGATATTTAATTGCAATAATTATTAATTTTTTTTTCTCTTAGGTTGGATGAATAGGGTGTAATTTCTATACGGCCAATTAAGTGGTATTTGCTGCAAAATTATGGTGTCCCTTCTAAAAATGGGCTATGTGCTATGGTTAGAATGGACCCCAACATCTATTTTGATTTTAGCAAAGTTAAATTTACATGAGACGAAAGGCCAAAAACGAGAAAAAAAAAAAAAAACTTATGCATGACGGTACTGCATTTAAAAGATAGAAGTGCGTCTGTTTAATGCATTTACGGGGGTGAGTATACAATTTCAACTTAGAAATAATTCATATTTAATGCCATGTTACATTTAAAAAAAAAATTAGTATTTCACTCTTCATCCTATCTCGTGGTCGGAACCACATCCACATACATTTATGGTTGGGCTTAGGCTATACCATGATTTTAAAAAAATCAAAAAATAATGTTGAAAACATTGGATTTTAGGGAAAAAAAAAATTATATAAGAATAAGTCTTGATC